TATATGCCAGTAGCTGGTCCCGGCTACGCCTTGCTGTCGTTCAGACTGATGGAATGGAAGATAAGAAAACAGGAAGGGGCACGTTTCAAACATGTATAATTTCATAATGCTTATGGATATACAATATTTTTGCCATTGCATTGTCTGTGCAGATGTAGAGATTGTCTGGTTTGCCGACTCCGGAACAAGCAACATATACAATAGGTGGGCTAACTCATGAAATGTCAACCGAAATTCCGAAATGCGTTTTCGTTTCGAAAAAAATTATTAAGTAGGGTTGTAGAACTAGTCAGCCTGCAGAATAATTCTATAATATTTCAGTTGCCACAGGATGCCGGCTTTCGAATGAACTTCCTTCCGTCTGCATGCAAAAACTACATTCTGTAAAAAACGACCACTTAAGTAGCATGAATTTTTCTCACTTATTTTCGATGCCCTTAAAAGTCCAATTATATTTCATGGAAAACATGCATATAAATATTCATTCTTCCGCACATTCGGTAGGAAATTAAGTCTTATTCCAATCTTATACTCAAATAAGGGGTCAAAATTGGTTTTAAAAATTTTTCCCAATTCCCGAATAATTTTGAACCCTATTCATGGTTTCCTAACTACAAGCCGTATATTTTCCGCGTACGGAAAACCACACATTTCTCTGCGGTGACCATAGAGGGTTCATAAAATTGAGCAGTGGATTTGATCCATATTGTTAACTTTACAAGCCACATTGGTAACTACAGAGACATGACGGTTTATGAACGGCCATTTCACGGTATTTAAGAGTACAACAATTAAAAACTTTTTTAAAACCGAATAATGTCCTTTTGTTTGGAAACTCTGAATCTAAGTGTAACGTTAGGGCGGGTTCAAAATTATTCGGGAAATGGCAACGTTTTTGAAAACCGAATTACACCCTTCATTTGAGTGAAAGATTGGAAGAAGACGTAATTATCTGCCGAATGAACAGAAGGATGAATATGTTTATGTATGTTTTCCATTGAATATAATTAACATTTTAAGAGCATCGAAAATCAATAAGAAAAATTCATGCTACGTAAGTAGTCAGTTTTTGCAGAGGGCAGTTTTTTCCTGCATCCGAAAGGAAATTCATTCGAAAGCCGGCGTCCTGAGATAAATGAAATATTATAGAATTATGCAGCAGGCTGACTAGTTTTACAACCTTGCTTAATTAATCTTTTCGAAACAAAAAAGAAATTCAGAATTTCGGTTGACATTTCATGAGTTTGCCCACCTACTCTAATTGGCCATTTGGGGAGCAATCCATTTGCAGATACAAAATGCATAATTCTAAAGAATAGCTCTGAGCTTTGTCAATGGTGATCACAGGCACCAATCGAATCGGGAATTGCGGTCTCCTAAAGTGAAATGACATATCAGTTGGAATTAATTAAATTCGAGTCATAAGGGCATTTTCACCATTACAGGGTCTTGTCAAGATAGTGGCTTCCTCGACGTTGCTCATTAATGGTTTTACTGCAGGCCTCGTGCCGTTGCAAAGCTTCGCCGGTTGATATTACGCAACATCATAATCGGCACGCCGATTTTGAGTTGCAGTACGTGCGGTGGCATTCTTGGCAGATCAAGTGCATTCAAAAACTCTGTTGAACACTTCATTGCCTCGTCAGCTTCCAAAACAGTGCCGACGGACGTGTATGTAACGGCCTCGTTTTGAATCGTAGACTGAATAATATGGTTAAGTTGGTAGACATGTGTGTTCTCGGCCGCAAGAATACCTGCCTTCGCTCAACCAATTGAGATTCGTATAACTGGTTTGAACATTGTGAAATACTTTTTCAACCAATTCTTCTCTTGTCGACATCAAATTGCCGAAGGTAGTAGGTAGTGAAATGCGTCATTAAGTCGGATCAACCGGCGTCGTTCCGTTACCAATTGTCAGCAGTTGGTGTGGGAATATCTCAGCTGTTCGGTCGTTTTGCAGCTGGACACGCATTTTGTATTTAATTTTACCGTCTGGACGTGGCTTCACAAAGTGGAGTATTTCATCTGCTGGTGTCCATCGAGGGATTACAGGCAATTCAGAAGACGCAGATGCGATCACTGGAACAAGAAACTTATTGGCGTGACGTTTCGGATTCTCATTCGAATCCATCAGGCACTGTTTGCCTGAAGTCTCTGAAAGCAGTAGCAATGCGTCTACAAATGGTCTGGTGTTTCCGCACAAATCTTGCTATGATCGATCAAGGGCCTCAGGCGTTTTTTGTGCGCCATTGTACATTTATCACAAAAAATAAGTTTGCATTTCTGCAGTACTTTTCCCACGCCGGATGCCTTGTAAATGTTACACGTGAGAGTTTTAATGAAGTGCACTTTTAAAGGCAATCTTAAAGCTGAATGAACAGTTCTTCCACCGGGTAGCAGTGTCGCAGCTATTACGGACGACGCAATAGCCAAGGCTGTGTCATTTTTGGATCGAATTACTATCAGATTCGGTCTTATTAGGAACGTTTTGCCAGTCCCTTCTGGCGCATCTAAGAAGAGGATTCCTCCTATCCCCTTTATTGACAGTCCACATTATTTGATCGTAAATGACATTCCGCTACATTGTTAGCTTAGGAATGTTTGATTGCAGATACGTCAGAAGATCAACCGTAAACCCATAGCCAACGAAGCGACAGCAGATTGGTTTGATGGTATTCCCAGTTGATTGAGAACTTTGTTCGTGATTTCTACGTACATATCCTGAATCATTCTAACGCCTCGGTGTACATTTCTGCTGTGAAATCCGCAGTTTAATTTTCCTTGCGTAGTCGACTGAAGAGGTCTTCAGCCATGATATTTCTCTTACAATTCTGTTGGAGATGAAGGAGAGCAAACCGTCAATATGACTGCAAACAATGCACGAATTCGATGTGGATGGGACGTGTTGGACACGTCGATAATGCATACATCCTAATGTCGGTCGTTTTCCAACAAATTAAGAGCCTGACATGGACTGCGGAATGCGGCATGTGTAACGCCGTTGTCAATTCTCAATTGCTGGGAAGACGTTGGACCGGGCACATTAACCAACAGCTTGCGAAGAAAGAAGCATTCGTCCTGATTGGGATGTACGGTATACGGTCTGCCTATCGCAGTTCATTTGAATATGCCGGGTTGTCCGTCGACTGGCTCTCCTCGCTTGCGTCGTTCGAAACAGTTTCTACACGCAATCCATGTGTAATACGTAGGCACTTTCAAATACGGCATCGTTTACGCAAACCCGGGGTAGGGCTGTTGTTAACTGCATCCAGTCGTCACTCCCGTGAATCCCGGAGGAAGCAGTGACAGCCGCATTAATGTGGGTTGTGGGGCAAATTCTAGTGGCATCCAGGCATTGCCACACGGGTGGTTCGCCTAGCGGCCCCCTTTTACATCGGCCCAGTGGGGGGAGGGCTTTTTCAGGTGTCTGCAGGGGGGTGGGGTGGGGTGAGCGCAGCCGTTGGAGTTCGCGTGTGTTTGAACGAAGGTCGGACAAAGTGGCTCGGCGGCGGATGTGTGTCCGAGTGGATGCCGGTCAAGTGGCCGCTGGCTGAGGCGCCCAGCAGATGACGTTATGCCGGAAGTAAGCATGTTTTACCCATCAAAGGCGTGTCATCTGCGTGATAATGAAGGTAGACATGAGAAAAAACCGCCCCTTTGCGTCTGCAAGGTTGTGGCAAAAGTTCAGAGCAATATTTTCGGAGATTACTTATTGCGTACAAACAAACAGTTCCATTGTGCAATGATTTACCGTACTAACAACACAGGTATTAGCTAAAAGCCCAGACACGCGTGTTTCGCCGATCTTATGTCGCTGCCTGACGCGGCTGCGAGGGGTTCGGCTCGTCAGTGGGTCCCCCAGCTTTCCCGCGTGTTTTTTCCCTTAAAATAAGCATCGCTGATCTTTTTTGTGAAATTTGAAAACCCACAGCAAGTACCACACGCGGGGCTTTGCGTCACGCCCAGGCGCAGGTTTACGCCGCACCAGGCACCTGCGCCAAATTCCCGCATCAGACGTCTGACCAGCTCGAACAGTGGACTGGCGTCTTGGAGGAGGGAAGAGAAGATGAGGTCGACTATGAGGACTCTTTTCCCCACGACAGCCAGCACTACAAACAATTTGACCCGTTTTTAAGCTACCGCGGTGCGCCAAAAGCCGTGGTTTGGAAGCCCGTTAACTGACAGAATAACACAGCCCTCCTTTCAGCAGGCGGAATCAGGCTGCAGTGACTCCGTCTTAATGTGGACTCTGTGACACTCAGTTAGGGCCCGAGCCGTCTACCTCCTGTTTGTGTGGAAACCTGGTCCATCGCGTGTGTGGCACGCGCTGACGGACCGTTTGGCCTTATCAACCACGGCGGTCTTCTTCAAGCCCTAATGACACCAGGCTTAGGTGGATGTACTTACTTACTTGTACTTTATACGGTTGCGATCATGCCTGATCTAGCCGGCCTCGATAATGTCACGAAATGTACCTCTCTATGCGTGACGATCCGCGGCGGCAGATCTGGACAGCTCAACCCATTCCCTTCGCCAACGACGTAGACCGAATACCGAAGTTCCAAGTACCACCTCCATGGTTTGACGAACCGTGTCGAGCCAGGTTTTAAACTGATTCCCCCCCCCCCTCTTCGACGCCTCCAATGGGGTAACGGTGCCGGATCGAGAGCAGAAGCACTGAGCTTCTGAGGTGGACGGCGAGAAACATGCCCGAACCACCTCAGTCGTCTTCCTTGGATGGCCTGAGTTATCCTTGTGATGTTGTCGCAGCGAGTGCGGACTGCCTCATTTGAGACGAAGTCGGTGAACTTCACTCGAAGGATGGTCCTCAAACAGTGGTGGTCAAATACCTCCAGTTTTTGCTCGTCCTCCATGCGAACAGCCTAGCATTCCCAACCGTAGAAAAGGACAGACCGGACAGATGCACGGTACACGCGAATCTTAGTGACGATGTAGAGGTCACGTCGCATCCATAGGCATTTCCGAAAGCTTGAGAAAACCTAGCGGGCAGCATCGATTCGGGAGACAATGTCGTCCTTATTCTGTCCATTAGGCAGCAGCCTCGTCCTGAGGTATTTAAAACTGTCCACTTCTTCAAGTTGACAGCCATTAATCCCGAGGGGAGCCTTCTCCTGGTCAGGGATGCAATCAGAAAACGCTTTAGTCTTACCAGCGTTTATGGATAAATCGACCGATTTAGCTTTCTCATTCACCCGTGACACCATAGACTGCAGATCACCAAAACTTGAAGCAAGTAAGACGACATCATCGGCATAGCTGAGTTCAGTCAGTCGGTGTCCGGGTGCAAACTCAACGCCATCACCCTCATGTACGGCCCTCTCGAGGATCCCGTCAATAGGATAGTTGAACAGAATAGGTGACCGGATCCAACCCCGTCGAACGTCAGACCGAATACCAGACGGTTGGGAAGGATTTTTGCGGACCAGGACTTTCGCAGGAGTGGAGCGATAATAGGCCTTGATCATGGCGATTATTTTTGCCGGTACACCATCTAACGCCATTATCCGCCACATGGACTCACGATGAACGGAATCGAACGCGGCGGCAAAGTCAATGAAGCAGACGGCTGTCGGTTGTTGATAGCTATGCCGAAATTCGAGGATGTGCCTCTGGGCCTGTGTGGCACGCGCAGACGGTCTGGTTGGCCCTGTCAACTACTGCGGTCTTCTTCAATCCCTAATGACACCAGGCTTAGGTAGATGCGAGAGGAGGGAGTGAGGTAGATGCAGCGAAAGTCCACTGTCACCACAGGTCAGTTTACGAAAAAGTCACCGTCCTTGGGCCCGCCTTCCTCTGAGGTACACGGCGGACATCGTCACCAGCGACTGTTGAATTGTCGTCTAGGCGATTATGTTTAATGATTTAACATGGGTTTGGAGCATACCAAAGAGCATGCAGTCTTGCTTACCAAATCCCCTTAAATAACCAACTTTATTCTGCATAACTAGTTCCATAGTGTCACTGCAGAATAGTTTTAATTTTGCGTTATTATTTATTCATCAGACTGCAATGATCTACCTTAAATTTAAAGCTCCATCGTAGAGTCTCGATCTGTTTGCATTCCCTTTTTCTCCTACATTCTAGAATTCTACTACTTTATTTGAAATTAGACCACCTCTTTTAGGAGCTTTGGGCCTTTTGTGCTCCATGCAAAAGGGAAATTGGTCAGACCGTTTGGTGGCACATTGAAAGAGGATATTTTGGATGCAGTGTCACGTCCGCGAAGTATTTAACAGTAACCTGTCGTCTGTGATGGGTTCCTTCAACGCAGACGACAGACAGTCCCCTGTGATACAAGGGATCCTGATGTCTGTCAGATTTCCTTGACTGACAAAACTATATTAGGGAATATTTCTGCCTTACTGATGTGGGTAGGCGCTTAATTAAAGTAGGTGGAAGCGTCCCGGCCTATCTTCCCGTCCGTTTGCCTAAGGCAGGACAGCGTGTTATTCCAAGACTGTTTTGGCATTGATGACTGAGTTAAGGGTATATGAAAACAGAAACTGCAAAACTGATTTATAACGACTAAGCAGTGAAAATATGTTCTCAGCGCGCTGAAAGCATCAAGCCAAATCGCGAATTGTACGGAAAGACAGCAGCCATCGGACTGAGGGGTTCATTCCATACAGAGCTATGAGTTGTCCTCTCAGGCGGCGGGTGACCTCCAGCAAAGGCAGGGCTGGTGTGACCGTGTCCAGTCATGACTGAGATTCCGTGGTGTAGGGATGTAGGCGCAATTTGGCCGACTTCGGATTAGTCATGCTTGACCCCCTAGTGCGTTGGTGGTTCCCCATCGGCACCACGGCGTCACGCTAGCCATCTCTCAACTTTGATCCTATTGGCCATTGCAAGACTGCCGTGTATGGCAGTTTGCGGCCTCGATCGCCCTAGTAGATAATACTCTGTGTTATCCTACCTTTCGTTTTTCATATTCTTACCTATTGGTCTGTTCATTAAACACACCCGCACCGCCTGGACGCCCCATAAATACCGAGGACAACCGCAGAACGCCTCCACGACGTCCGCACACGTCATCGCCGTTCTCGCTTGCCGAGTCAACTAAGAACCACCTACAGGCCAACCAGTCCCCGCCAAAGGACCTCCCCGTGTTCCCTACCCTGCCTGAACTCCAGCCCGTCCACCCGTCGTCCTAACTAATCCCCAATCCTCCCCTTGGACCACTGTCTTGTTTTCTTATCGGGGGTCGAATATGAGCGTTTCGACACTTAGCACGGATAGGCTGCATACACTGGTGGATGATTTTGTACAGTAGGTAGGCTAACTCAGGAAATGTCAACCGAAATTTCGAAATGCGTCCTCGTTTCGAAAGGATTAATTAAGTAGGGTTATAAAACTAGTCATCATGCAGCATAATTCTATAATGATCCAATTACCTGAGTGTGTCGGTTTTCGAATGAACTTATTTCCTACTGCATATAAGAACTATACTCTGCAAAAAATGAAAAATTAAATAGCATGGACTTTTCTCGCTAATTTTCGATGCTGTTTAAAATTTCATTAGATTTTATGAAGAGCATGCATAAAAATATTCATTCTTTTGCCCATTCGATAGCAAATTACGTCTCCTTCCAATTCTTTACTCGAAGGGTGGGTATAATTCGGTTTTCGAAAACTTTTCCAATTCCCGAATAATTTTGAACCCGACCTGCTATTACACTTGCGTTCAGGGTTTCAAATTTACAAGCCGTATATTTTCCGTGTTCTTAAAACCATGCACTTCTCTACGGTATTGAGAGGAAACCATATGGGGTTCATACAGTTAAGAAGTGGATTTGAGCAATATTGTTAACTTAACAAGCCACATTGGTAAATGCAGGTACATGACTTTTTATGAACAGCCATTTCACGGTATTAAAAAATCTCACGATAAGAAACTTTTTGAAGCCGAATTGTACCCTTCTTTTGAGTATAAAATTGAAAGCAGACGTGATTTTCTAACGAATGGACAAACGAATGAAAATTTGTATGCATTTTTTCCATGAAAAATAATTGAATTTTCGAGGACATCGAAAATCAAGGAGAAAATTGCATGAAAGTTAATTAGTCATTTTTTGCAGAGTATAGTTCCTGCATGTAATCAAATATAAGTTCATTCGAAAGCCGCACCCTGAGGTAACTAGATCATTATAGAATTATGCCGCAATTTTCAAAAAATAACGGACTACGAATAAACCGCTGCTCGTAATTTTCCGTTTAGTCAGGAAAACCAGGAGATTCTAGCCCATGGGAATGGTGAATGCCGGGCGATGCTTACGGCCATGTTGTAGTTACCGACTACGTGGCGTTCTACACCCTATCGTAGCCGTATTCAGATTCTTCAGATGGCTGCCGGGCTCTTCATGTGAACCTTATGAAATCTCTAACTTCTGTGAACATTACGAGTCACTATAATCGATATCAACAAGTTTGCCAGACCAAAAGTCGAGTAGACAGAGTTAAGGGGACAATATTTACTGCCGCGGGAACCGTACATGCAGTTCAGAGGCCGGTGGCAGCAATTGTGCTACCACATTACGCCAGACAGCCGGCCAACCGTTGTCGCTTTTAGGCGCTGCGCGCGGTGCGTGCGTACTCGTTAGCCGTGTTTGCCGGCAATCAGCCAATGCTAAGGACGCGTCTGTCGGCGCCAAGCTGCAGCCACGCGGGGTGCTGAGTCATGCACGTGTTAGGTGGACTAGAGGCGATATGAGTAGGCGGCACGTGAGCAGACTCCTATGAACTTTCTTGAAAAAATATCACTGGACGTATATTCGGCATTGTTATGCCTTTCAGAACTTCATGCGAGGACTTCGAGCAAATCTTTCGCACTAACCCTTTTTAGCCCGTTGAGAAAGTTGATATGAATATTTGACCTGAAATCCGTCAGTTTCAGTTATCAACTTGCAAAACGATCCCGAAAAGTTTTATACTGAATAACTTACTCCAAATTCACACGTTGATTTCTGAAGAAATTAAGAAGTTGAGCATTTAAAGTGGAAGTATATATAAGAAAGCGCATAAGACGCTGCGGGACTCCTCAAAGCTGTGTCGCGCAGCGATACAAACCTGGCGAAACACGTGCCTGGGATTTGAGCAAGTGCCTATCCTGCCAGTATGGTGGATCGGCCAATGTTTTCGGCATTGTTTCGATATTTTGACTCGAAAAAAACTAAATTCCCTGAACTGGAAGCAAGTTCTCTAACATATTGAATATGACTAACGACCTTCCACCCCCGAACGTTCTATGAATCACGTTTTGTGCTGGTGGCTGCTTGCGACTGACTGGTGTCGGCAGACGAGTTTTAAATGGCCATTTTAATCCCACATGTTTATGGTGATATCCCGTCCGCACCATTTCTTGCTTGATGCCATGGTATCTCCGCGAGAACCCCAGCGGGATCAACGTGCTCTGTCCGCGCAACTGCACTGATGAAGGGGCAGCTTCGTGTGACTCAAATCGTTACCGGTCGTATCCGATGAGCTATTGACCCCGCAACTGACTCTGCATCCCCCCACCTATCGTGCTCACATTGCCATCGAACATGCACATCCCGCGTCGACGTAGTAGGTCACTTGCGAATCCATTGTTAGGGTCCTGGGCAAACCAGTGCCAGGAACACCAACGAACACCCACTAAATCCACCTCAACTGTCGATACTGTCCTGGCGCATTCGACCATCGCGTGGGCCTACTTGGTCACATGTGCCTGCATGAAAACCTGCGGAAGACACCGCAGACCAAACCACATCATCACACATTTCCCCATCAATACATGCTCCACACACGAACACATTCGACATGACGCACTGCTACATGTAAGATCCAAGCCGCCCACTCACTTTGTGTGAAATCCTGGTGCCTTTTGTGGGGGACCAGGTCGTGTGCGGGTGTCACGCGTAGACGGGTTTTATCTACTTCTATCGGCCACTTCGCCCAATCCTAGCATCATCTGGTCGACCAGTTAGGCCAATCGATTTGCGCAGGGACATAAGAGACAGCGGAGTTGACCTCCAGCGTATTTTCCTCACGAGAAGCATTCTGAAGCTCTTGAGACTACTGTGGTGCGCCAAAAGCCGAGGATTGGAAGGTTGTCAACCGGCGATCCAACTCAGGGTGTACTTTGTGGAGTGACCAACTGATCAGGTGTGGGACAGACTGCAATGGCCCTTTCTTCACGTGACTTTTATGGGATCTGAACCGCCCGCTGCTTTATTGGTCCTTTGCGTGCGGACCAGGGAGTGTAATGGCAGTCTAAACGCGGTTTCACGCTGCGCACCCTCCCCCCCCCCCCCCCCAGTCTTTTTGACATTTTCACTACCCCGGCACAGGTGTGGGAGGAGAAACGGGTGTGCTAAACGCTTCGCAAGTCTGCTATCACCAATAACTAATTCATGCGTAAGTTATCGTCCCTGCTCCCACCCTGCTCTGGAGTACACAGTGGACATCGTCGGAATGGGCAGTAAAACTATGACGGATCCCCGGCTAATCTGGTTGGTTGCTC